AGATTAATTATTTACTCCGTTTTAGGCTCATTAAATCTGGAAAGACCATATAACAACCATATTTTTAAGATAAAAAAGTATAAATTTGTGAATTAAATATAATTCATAATAATTTTAATAAATATTAATTATGAATTATGATATCGTATAATATCTAGATATAATTGAATTTTTACGTTTAAAAGTTGGAGTGCCTGAATATATTTTGATCTGGTATGATTTCATCGTTTCTTCCAGAAGATAACTTATATTTGCTCTGGTTGCTTTTAGTTTTTTTGTGGAGAAACTGTACCAACCAATAAGTAGCCACGGTTCTTAACAAAATTTGATTACGATTAATAGCACGTGCAACTAATAATTTTATCTAAGAACAGACCAACTGTATTCTATGTTTTGTGTATTTTTGAGTCAATCTCATTTGTTGTATTTTGCTGTTCGTGTGACTGCTGCAGTAATCAGTATAGACTTTTGTTTCTAGAATAGAATAACAACAATTAATTAATAAAATAATATTGTACCCGACTATCCGAATCGTTGAAAATTTGAATTTCATATCCTACAGTCACGAAAACTATGAGCTCCAAAGAACCCAAAAAAGTAGACGACGACGACGAGGCGGTAGTCACTTTCAAAGACTTAGTGAGTACAAATAGTGTCTTTTAGAATGTGCAAAATACGAAATCATAATTATAAAATAAAACGTTTATTTTTCTATTGTGGCTGTTATAGGGTGTAACGGACGTACTATGTGAGACTTGCGAAACACTTAAATGGAATGCACCTACAAAAATACAAAAAGAAGCTATTCCAGTAGCTCTGCAGGGCAAAGACATTATTGGACTTGCCGAAACTGGGTCTGGAAAAACAGGTGCCTTTGCCATTCCTATTTTACAAGCACTATTAGAAAACCCTCAACGGTATTTTGCTCTTATTTTAACACCAACAAGGGAACTTGCCTTCCAGATATCTGAGCAAATAGAAGCCCTAGGTAAATTCTTACAAATAAAATCATTACTTTTGTTAATAATTAACTGCAATCGTTTTTAAAATTAGGATCGAGTATTGGTGTTAAATGTGCTGTAATTGTTGGTGGTATGGATATGATGGCTCAATCACTAATGTTAGCTAAGAAACCACATATTATTATTGCAACACCAGGTCGCCTTGTAGATCATCTCGAAAACACCAAAGGATTTAGCTTACGAAATTTAAAAATGCTTGTAAGTTACCATTTGTAATCAAAAATTGTCTAATTGTAATATTTTTACTTATTATTGATATTGAATAGGTTATGGATGAAGCTGATCGAATTTTAAATATGGACTTTGAAGAAGAAGTAGATAAAATTTTAAAAGTCATTCCCCGAGAAAGGCGAACATTTTTATTTTCTGCTACAATGACAAAAAAGGTACAAAAGCTGCATCGAGCGTCATTGGTTGATCCTGTAAGGGTAGAAGTATCTACTAAATTTCAAACAGTTGAACAGCTGCAACAATATTACATGTTCATTCCTGTTAAATACAAAGTAAATATCTAAAATTATAAATTCTGTGTTTGTATGTTATTTTTGTTATACAATATTTGCAGGATGTATATTTAGTACATATATTAAATGAAATGGCTGGTAATTCATTTATGGTATTCATGGCCACTTGCAATGGAACTGTTCGTGTAGCTCTTTTACTCAGAAATTTAGGTTTAGACGCTATACCATTGCATGGACAGATGACACAAAATAAGCGATTGGCTTCACTGAATAAGTTTAAATCAAAATCTAGATCAATACTTATTTCAACTGATGTTTCCAGTAGGTTAGTGTCTATTTTATATATTTTTAAAATTATTTTTATTCCTAATCATTATTTTTTGTGTTGTGGCAATTTAGGGGTTTGGATATTCCACATGTTGATGTTGTAATCAATTTTGACATGCCTACTCACAGTAAAGATTATATTCATAGAGTTGGACGAACTGCCAGAGCTGGACGATCAGGAAAAGCAATTACACTTGTGACTCAGGTATAAATGTATTATTATTGATTACGTTTAGTAAGTGTTAGTGCCTTACAATTTAAAAGAGATTAAGTTAGTAATAATTTAAGTTTTGTAAAAGTAAGCAAAAAATCTATTGACTTCATAAAACATTTTAACATATTTCATCAATTTAATTATTAAATTAATTTTTTTACAATTGATATGTTTAAAATAAAAATGATTATGAGTTAAATTTTAACTATTTGATAATGTTTATTGCATTGCATTGCAGATTGCACTAAAATAAAAAATACAGTCAAAAATCACAGTAAATATAAGTTGTACAATATATTTATTTTGAAATTATATAAGTTCTTTAATTATATCTAATTTGTTTGGAACAACTTATAAAATATCTTTATCAAAATTTAATTTAATTTCAAGCTTTTATAGAAAATTTAATTGAATTAGTGAAATATATTTTATTTATATTGTGTTTTGTTACTAATTTTTATTAATTGAAACAACAATTATCAGAAATGAAAGTACTAGAGTTCATGTAATATTTTTTCTATGCTTAAAACAACTGAATGACGGTAATCTGCAATTGAATGATGCAATCAAATGAAAAAAAAAAAAGTAAATTCATAAAATCTCAAATTTTTTTTTTGCATTATTATGTCTACTTGTGATAAATTTCATAATCACACAACTACTATAGTTCTCTTTCAAAATAAAATAAATCTAATTTGACTCTTACTGATGTGTATCAAAATTGATTTGATGTATTAAATATTAGAATCATTTAATTATTTTTTAGTATGATATTGAATTGTATCAAAGGATAGAACAACTAATTGGCAAAAAATTACCGCTATATCAAGTTGAGGATGATGAAGTTATGTGTTTACAAGAACGAGTGTCCGAGGCTCAACGACTAGCCAAAATGGTTAATATTCCTAATTTCATAGGTTTTACACTTATTTTAATACAACATTTTTATTTAAAATTTCAGAATATGAAAGATATGGGTGATAAGAAAGGTAAAAGAGACCTTGACGACGATGAAGAAGGTGCAATGGGTGTTAGAAAAAAGAATATTGGTAGACACAAATCTAATAAATCGAAAAAATTTAAAAAAAAATAAAACTACACAAATATGTTATATTATTATGATTATTAAAACAATTTTTCCTTGTTTGGTAAATTTATTCAATTTTTCTGAATATTCAACCCTGAAAACCTTAGTGTTTTTGATTTTATCTAATTGATAAAGTGATTACATCTTTTATATGAATATAATAAATTATACTTTTTATTTATTCAAAGGTTTTATTTTTTTCTGTTTATGTATATTGTGATTAATGCTTATTAATCATTTTAACTTTAAAGTTTGATAATTGAGCATTTTTAGCTCATTTACTACAAAAAGAATATGGTAATTTAATTAAACTTTTTCAAATTGTTATTTTTTTCTGTATCTTTATATTAAATCAAGATTATTTGATATACATTACACACAAAATTTAATGTCATGTGGCAATAGATTAATGTTTTATGCAGTCTTCCCCGTAACTAACTTTTAATTTTGGTATATTTTATAGTAAAAAAAAAAAATAAGTAAAATATTATTTCTTTAGTATACAAGTTATTGTGTATTTGTGTGCTTTTAGATGCTGTTGAGTATTCAAAATCACTCCAATCAGCAAAGAATTTTAATTTTTAAGCTTAATTTAACTTATAAATAATATTTATTAGGATATAAAATTGTTTTAGATTGAATAATCATGAATAATTATCAGATTCTAAGGCGAGTTAGATAAATATAATGATTTTACAAAGACGTGCTTTTTTTTATATAATTTATTTGTACTTTAGAGGTCAAAATTAAAATTTTCTATTTTTTTTTTTTATCATCTGAAAAATCAAACAATAAAATTATAGAAAAATGGGAATTTTTACGCCAATCTAATATTATTAAAATAATTGTTTTGTAACCATAGTTTCTTTAAAACTTTTAAGATATTACATTCTACCTATTTGTATGATTTTATTTGTACTGTTTTATGGTAAGTGTGGTATTGATTCAAAAGTTAATAACAATATAATATGGCATAAATACACATTTTTTTTATTATAATAATTAAATAAGTATTAATAATATAATAAATGCAATGTTTACTGCAACAATTAAATCAATTTACTATAATAGTAGTGATAAATTACTTAAGTAAATTTTTAAAAACATATAAAATGTATTAAGTCAATTAGGTAGTGATTTTTCAAATATAATTAAAAGTAGATTCTCAAACTATGCATAAACTATAGGCGGACTCAGCTTTCGTGTTCAGTATTTATGGGGTGTAAAAATTTCTAGAAATTTTAATCCCCCCTTTCTACAAGATTAAAAATAGACTATCAAGTATCAATTATCTGATTCATATATTACATTAGCTATGCTTAAAATTAAAGTGTCTCGTAAAAAGAACTTATTTTTGTTTCAGGTGTGCCATTAAAATATAATATTAATTGATAATTGAATATAATATTCTGGCTGATTAACTTAAAAACCCCAAATTGATTATTGATATATTAAAATGTAGAAGTTGCCTATATGTTTTTTACAATCAGTTTATAAACAACATATTTATACAAATACTGTTTTATATAATAAATACTTGCATGAATATAATGTATTTTAATATTTAAAAAGTGTAAGGGTGCAAAATTTCAAATAATTGTGTTTTTTATATTATCAGTAATCTTTATTATATTATTCATAGAATAATATTGATTATGAATTTAATAGCTTTATCATAAACATACATGAAATATGCTTAGTGATATAGACTAACAAACCATTTCCTCAAAGAATCATATTTCGTGTACAATGATACATCATTAAATTTAAATTTGATACACTCATAATAGTATTCCACTCAATACCTAATGTACAGCAAAGTGATACCTACTTGTTAACCCAACTTTAATATTTAATATAAAAAAAACTGTGTAGCAGATCAAACATTTGATGATAGTTTTAATTTTAATATTTGTCATTTTTAACCACATACTTTGGTTGTACCTCACTTTACATACAATAAAAGATTGGTAAATTATTTATTGTATATTAGACATGAAATTTCATAAATATTACAATATTTAAATTATGTGAAGTTCTATAATTAAATCTAGCCTGGATAGGACAGATTTAAGTTGTAAACTCAAATTCATCAAATTCATAGTCAGTTATAATAACCACTGGACTCAAACATGAAGATACACTATTTCAAATACTTTTTAATCTGATGTTAGTAAAATAATTTGTGGTACACATTTCCATTAAAGGTATTGTTATAGCCTAGGCCCTATATAATATAGATGAAGATTAAAAGATTTTTAAGAGTGCTACAATTCAAATGCTTAGAACTAATAATAACCCAAGGCAATAGACATACAACTTAAGTGTATATATGGATACAAAACAAAATAAAAATATTATTTTGAAGTAGAAACTAATAGTAAGTCCAAAATCTAAAATGTATGTCTCACAAAATATATATATATTTGTATTAAATATTGTCCTAATCAACAGAAATACAATTAACACCGTTTCTAAACAAAATTTTACTGAATTTTAATAATATAAAGATGTTTGATAATTACATACATTGATGACTTGAATATCGGTCGAACAGAATAATATGTTAATGCAGAAACGGCATAAAAATTGGTATGAATGAAAACAAAAGAACTTATTCTTACAAAATTACAAAACTACCCAACGCATAGCAGCTCTCAACCTATTGTAATCAACTAATTGTTCTACTGGACCAACAGCGGCAACAGCTGGGCATCTATCAAACAGATATTTCATAGCGATATCGTGAATGTTCTTGGCACTGATATCCTGGAAAATAAATAAATACATGAGTACAGTTGAACAGTAATTTATGTAAAATAATATATTTACATTGATACGAGCTTCCAATTCATGAGGAGGTATACGTCTGTTATAACACAACAATTGACGACCAATATCTTCGCATACTTGTGTAGATGTGTCCAGTTGCAATAACATGTTAGTTTTCAAAACATTCTTGGCACGTTCTACCTCAGCTTCAGTCACAGAAGCACACAGTCTCATCCATTCTTCTTGCAAGTGGAATGTGAATTCCTAGTAAAACAAATTCAAAAATGTTTTTTACATTGATTAATCTAGAAATGAACATCTCGTTTTTAATGTGATGTTAATAAATTTTGTTAACTTACCGCAATCTTCAATTTATCACATACGAAGTATGCTCCCCACAAACCAGTATCTTTGTAACAAGTGTTGAATGACTGGAAAGAGTGACATAGGTCTAACGAATCAGCAAAGCGGGCCAGACGATTGGCATTGTTGTTACCGCCTCCTTGAGAACGATCCCAAGATCCAATAATGGTGTTGGCTACCATTAGAGGAATATTATCAGCATCAGCCCAACCACAACTTTCAACTGCAATTGCAACATGTGCCAAGGGTAGGGAATCATCTCGAGCTTTGATTTCAGAACCTGAATTCATATAATTTTAAAATTAAGTTAATCATATAAATATATACATATTGTGCATTTAAAATAGCTCTAAAAATAAAGAATATTTTTACTAACCAGTGAATCTGCACTTAGAGTAATGAGGTACATCAGCTTCCATATTCAAATTTTTTGGGTTTTTAAATAATGTTTTGGCTAAATCTACTAATTCTTGGTGGTCTACTCCACCAGCACCAGCCAATACGAGACGACTTGGTCTGTAGAATAAGTCTACATATTCCTTAAGTTCTTTACGTTTAAGGGAACTATAAACAAAAAAGACAAAATTATTGTAAATTATTTTTATTTAAAAAAATTTTGTTTTACTTTATGTTTTCAGTTGGTCCTAGAATTGTTTGACCTAAAGGTGTTCCTTGGTAAGCAGTAGCGTGCAAGTAATCAAATACAACTTCTTGTAAATTAGTTTCAACTTCTTGCATTTCCCTAAGAATAACTCCACGTTCTCTATCAATCTCATTTTCTCCTGTAAATTACAAAATTAAACATATCAAAATGTATTTTTTCTCTATTAAAATGATTGTATTTAAATTAAAACAACTTTAAATATAAATTCATAATAATAATATTAAAATTAAAATTATTATTATATAAGTTTTAATTAGTATAAAAAAAGACAGATTCAGTATTTTAACGGTATTATTAATATTTTATTATTTCCGATAAAATTTGAAAGAAATGTGCTATACATAATTGATGAAAAAAATAAATATTTTCTATAATTCATAGTTAATAAATTAAAAATAAACAATTAATCAAAATAATAGAATACAAAAAAAAAAAAACAAAACAATTTAATTAAATATTAAATTATGTGTCAGGTATTTAACAATAAATTATTAAAGATGTTGATTATTAATGTACAAGGGAAATGCAGTTAATGGAAGTTTTATTTATTAATATTTTAGTGACTTTGTTATAAAAGCATACCTAGCATTTATTTAAACTGAAATTTTTAACTTACCAAAATTTGAGTTTTGAAGAATGTCAGCTAAAATTTCAACAGCTTTAGGAACATCACTTTTTAAAGATTTGGCATAAAATACAGTTTGTTCCCGAGAAGTATATGCATTCAAATGAGCGCCAATGTTTTCAATTTCTAATTCAAGAGCAGTTTGTGATCTTGTTGGTGTTCCCTATAGAAGTTATGTAATATGTAAGGAACAGCAATATATAGATTTATATAAATGGTTTAAATGATGATACTTGCCTTAAATAACATGTGTTCAACAAAATGGGCAACACCATTATTGCTTGCAGTTTCCCACCTTGAGCCAGCATCGATCCACAAACCGACGGTTGCTGTTTGCGAACCATTATCTTCTGTGGCGATTCGCATACCATTTTCGAGTGTCGTGACCTTTGTCTCGGGCACGTTCACCCGGGAAGAAGCACACGATGCCGCAGTAGATCTCCAGCAATTAGGTACCTGAACAAAACGATGTGAATAATGAGATAAACAATTCCACGTATGTGCGCCGTAATTAGCACTTACCTGGGTGACTCCGCATTTTAATGAAAGAGCCTTCAAAGGCGTTTGGATGGTTAATAAACGAGAAGCCATTTTGGAAAATCCCTACAACCTTTACGTTCTTAATGTAAAATGTAGAGTGCACGCTCCAAGGACTGAAAGTACAGAGAAAAATTGGGAAAATCGTTATCAACGCCTTAAACATATGATTATCAATTCAACGCCGTTTACAGTGTATCCCCGTTTATTCAATATTCGTGTTATGCACTGGCCGTTTTTTTAATTTTTTATACCATCAGCTACACTGCAAGTCTAAGAACAAACAAATAATATTATTAACTTATCGCCAGCAGGCAGCAATGTTACATTGCTACAGCAGTACAGCCTACAGCTATTAGTCGAAAAATAAAAATGTTTATTATAAAATCTAGGTGGCTAATTAGTATACCTATAGTAATTTCATTTAAAATTAAAATATTTATTATTCAACAAAACATTACAAAAATTTGGAAACTCGCAAGGACTTCTAAAGAATTTTAATCTTTCAAGTTTCAATCCCACTTAAAAACGAATGAAAAAATAACTTATAGTTGTCAGTAAAATACTAAAATGTTATTCAAAATGTTCATTTTAAAAGTATTAATATAATTTAAGGAATTTTTCGTTTTAATGCAAACTTCTAAGTTTTAATTGAAACCAACTTTTTTTTCTCAAAAGATAATCAAAATGTAAACAATTGGTTTAAATTGTATAAACGAAGTGTAATAGTTTTTAAAAATGGATTTACAGACATAGATGTAGGGTGGTAAGATTTTTTTTTTTGGAGGGGGGGCTGTAGCCTTCCTAGGGGTAGTCATGTACCATCTTGTGGAGAGCTTCGTCTGCATTTTATGAGTGCTATTTTCCTATGTAATTACAGATATATTAAATACTAAATAGTTCTAAAATTAGTTTAGTAGGTACCTATTTATTATATGGGTTTTAAAATATCTGTAAATACAAAACAATAGATCATCATTTATTATAAATACTAATATTAGTAGCATTATTAGTTTTTTTTTAGTAGGTATTTATAATAATGATATAAGACCAGTATGAATATATCAATATTCAATGCGTACATTTATCGTATGAAACTGGTGTAAATAAAAATACTTTCCTTGTATATTCTTCATCTATAACTGGTTTAGATGTTAGATATGTATATACTTACCAAATTTATTTTGTTTGTATAAAATATATATTATCCTACCAAATCATACAAGGGATAAATGAGTGAATACACAATTCTAACTCGATTTTTCGAGTATTTATGTTATAGTTTTTTAATTACGAAATGAATATGTTAACAAATAGATCGAAAAACCAAGAAAATTCAAATTACTATAAATAGTTCAAAAATTAAAATGTTCCATGTATGTATTTTAAAATTTAAGAATAAGATAATATAATCTAGAAAATATTTATGTGTACATTTAGTTAACATTTTGAGCCACAATTATTCATCCTTTCAGAATTTTAGACTTAGGTACCTACAACCAAACAAAGCACTAAGTACCTAGATCATAAATTTTACCAGACCCTATCCTCATTTTCATTTGTCTAAATTCTCTGCTAAAACACCCATCGTAAAAAAAAAAATACATGAGTTTATCTTGAAAAATGATTATGAATAACATTGTAGCGTATTATTTAGACAATGGTGTCTCTGGTACTTGTAACAACTTACTAATTGCGCTAAAGTCAAGTGTTACAGTGGTGTGGTGGCAAGTCTGCAAGGGCTTAACGTGTTCAGGAATACATTTAAAACAACAGAGGTAGATGGCACAGCTGAACAACTGGTTTTTTAATTCCATCAACAATGGGGTTTGTCGTTTAGTCATAACTAAATCAAATAAATGGGAAAAACTTAAAGAACTGTTTAGACTGATGACATGATGCGTACCATTTCTAACATCTTTTAAATAATAAATTATTGATATGAATATAAATTGATTATAAGCATACTTATTTTATTTTTTAAGAAAATATAGAAATTAATTCATGGACTTTAATTTGCATGATTTATTTATGATAATAATTTTTATGCATGTTTTTCTTTTAAAGTTTGAGTGAATATTAAATGTAAGAGATTAATTGAATGATTAATAAAAATACATTATTATGTTAATAAAAAAATATTTAAATTACATAATTTTGTTCTGTTTAAATTAAAAAAATGTCATGAATGTTAAAAAAACATTACAATAAGTAAATTTGGTCATATAACAAATTTTAGTTTTTTTGAGTTATTTCCTTGACAAGGGAAAACATCTATTTATAGAACCCAATATTTCAATTCTTTATAACATGAATTTTTACTAATCAGAACATTTAGAGCCTAGGTTTTTAAATTATAAAATTATGATTATGCTATAAACTGATAGATGTGATAATAATACATTTCAAATTTATATGAATAAAATGTGTAATTAAAATTTACTCTGTTATATTATGTACAATGTGTATAAATAAATTATTTGTATATTTTTTAACAGATTATTTAACGATAGTTTTAACTTACAAATTATCAATGTAATATTTTATGAAAATTTGTTTTCATAATTGCATCATATTCAAGTACAATTGGTAATGTCGTATAAATATATATAAATCTATATCATTATTATGATTGTGCAGTAGCTAAAATGTGTTTAAGTAAAGCTGCTCTTCTATCAGTATTTTGAAATAGAGCTTTCAGCAAGCATTTTATTTGATCAACTTTTAATTCATTAGCTAATGGACCTTTTCCATCTGCCCAACGGTTTTCAATATCTTTCATACTAGAACTCAATATATATACTAATTCATTTAACTGCCACCATTTAGGAACGTATCTATGAACTTCTTTAGGTTCCTAAAATCAATCATATAAAAAATATATAATTATAGCATTATAAACTTATAAATTATTTAAAATACCGGAAATAAGGTTGGAATATATTTGATGATGTTGTTGAAAATAGATGAATATTGTTCAGCTGAAGTAGCTGATATGTCTTCTAATGTGAATATCTTATTAACAAGACATTCAAATAAACCATTACACGAATAACCTAAAAATAATACAAACTTATTAATAGTCCTGATTTATTTTGGTCCAGTTAAATATAATAACTTTGTATACTTACCTATAAATTTACAATAAACAGTTGATGGCAAAATATCTCTCCACAAACCACTTAAGATTGATAAAAGATCATGACATTGTGACATACTTTTTTCAACAGAATAGCCTAAATTTGAGTTTACAGCCATCAAAATAATGTCTGAAAAAAAAAAAATAAATGCATATATTAGCTAAACATTCGCATGTTTTATACATTTTAATAAATTATAAAAATGTATTAAAATTGCGATTATGAAACAATAACAATCATCAACTCAAAATAATATAATACTATTATTTTTAATGATAATTCTTACCTGATTGATTGACAATTTTTTCAATTTGTGTTATTTGCTGTTTGCATTGAGAATGGAGTATTTCACTAGCTAAGTTTTTAAGTTTTTCAAGTAAATGGACGATGAGTAAGTTCTTATAGGTTGGACTTAATTCAGCCAATTTCCGAGTAAAATACATAATGTTATTGTAAAGAACAGCTATGAGTTTATGTAAAAAAAAATCACAAAATTAAATTATACATTGAATTTTATATTAATAAAAGATAGGTATACCAGATTGCTGAGGATGAAATTCTAGCACTTTGCAATGTTGAAGCGGTATTACATCACAATACATGATTGTAATATTGTTTAAAATATCATGATATCTCCAAGTACTATTTTCTGGTATGCTAGACATGTCTGAGGCTACTGTATCAATGAGATCTAGAAATTCTAATAATGATTTACTGAAAAAAATAATAATTTACAAAACAAAATTAAATTCATGATAATACATTATACAACAGTTTCAAATGTACTTATTTGAAACTTAAATATTTTAATAATTATAAAAATAAATAATAAATAATTAAAATTTAATATATAATAGAAATATAACTATTTTTAATAGATATAAGTATAGAATATGAGTTCATCAAGGTAGTATTAGATACTAAATCGTAGGTAGCATACAAGATTAGTAGCTAGTATTAAATAATTAAAATAATTTACCTCACTTTACTTTGTGGATAAGCAAAAATTTTTTGACAAAATCCATTATCATCTAGAACATCTTCATCAGAAATCCATCTGTTTTCCTACGAAGAAAACAATTTTCCTGTTATAATAGTTACTTTAACTTTAAATTACATAGGTCAATGCGGTCCATCTTACAGCCCTTGAAACCTTATTTTTGGCTCCCATAGTAGACTTATATTAAAAAAAAAAATCACTGTAATATAACAAAATTGTAGTGTGTCAAATTTTTACGTTTTATGGTGTTATACTATAAAACGTATGTGTAACGAGTAACGTCCAAAACCATGATTTAATTCAGCTTTCTATGTACATAGTAGGTATCGTATTTATATAGCAGTCACAGCAAAGTCGTGATTTTTCTCTTGAAATTTTATCATTATTTGTAAGTATGTATATTTAAGAACCGGTATTTTCAACAAAAAATTTATTAAAATCTTAATCAAGGAACCATATTGAAAATTCTTCTTTAGAATCGTGCATAAGATTAATCACCATAGAGTGTTCAATTGATATTAAAAAATTGACTTCTGAGAAACAATGCCAATCATCGCTTACATTTTTTTTAAATAAAAATTCTAAACCTAATCAACATACTTATATCTTAATTTTAATCTACAATGTAATAATTGTGCATTACATAATATGTTTGTAATAAAATAAAACATAAATTATAATATCATTTATTTTTTATATTTTGACGGCCTTCAGTCTTTTTATGAGCAATAATTGGCCCATTTACTACATAAGGTTAAACCACCCCGATATGAATTATATCAAGAGAAAATAAAAAAAAAAATCTTACATTATTCACTTCAACTAAATCGTGTAGATCTTTCTTTATAATAGTTCTTGCTCTATCATAGTATAATTGGCTAATTTTTGTGAAAAATAAATTGTCAATATTTTCAATATATTTTATCAATTCATCGTTTGATTCTTCAAAAAATCCTAAATAATCAACATTATACAAGGGTATTTTTAGTAAAATAAAA